TGACAGTCTTGTTGCCTGGCATGGAGGTGTGTCGGCACACGAACTGATACAGACTGCAGGAGATCGTGGATTATGATGATGATGGTGATCTTGTCAGGTGCATACTACTGTATCAATAGATTACAATGAAGCAAATAAATGAATTCTTTAAACGAAACGTACAGTCGACTATATTCCAAAATACTGTCTGTTTTACCAGGGCAACCACAGACTGATGACCATGTCATTTTGCCTGCATAGTTCTGCACTAATCTGGTTTATAGCCGTTTCTTCCAGGAATCACAATAATCGCCGTTGGCTCACGTACAGAGAATTTAAAATACGTTGTCCTTGTTTAAAATATTTTCCGTGTGGGTTCCGGGGCCCTGTTGTAGGGAAAACAAGATTAGACCCACTGCCTACTCAAAAGCATGTCGTAAGAGTCGACAAAGTGGGAGCTTCCTTTGAAGTCAGAGTGCATCTGCCTGAGAGACAAGACCAACACAACAGTCTGCAGCCAAATGAGTCACATCTGCCTAACGGAGTCACACACAACACTCAGGTTCTGAAACAGGACTGCAGTCCAGAGGTGGACGAACAACCAGAACTTTCCATCGGAGTTTACAGCCTGTGAACGCGAAGAATAAGTTTGGAATGTGCTCAGATTTCAGCAACCCCTGCCCCACTCACAGTAGTTGCCTCTCATGACAACTTGTCTGATTGCAGAAGGTTTATCGATCCCAAAGGTAACATCAGTACTTCGGTTCACGAGTGCACATTTTATAGAGATCACTGGGGTTTCCCACAAGAGAAACAGGGTAAGTGCTTTGTGCGACGTTCTGGAATAAAAGCTGGTGGAATGAAGCCCATCCTCTCGTCTTAAAACATCAAAAAATTACACAACAGGTAAAACTGTTAGATTCACTTCATCCAAGGTGACACGGCGACAGCACAGGTAGGGTAGTTGTTACAAGTAGACAGGCGTCTGCTCCTGGCACCTGGGAATGTTGTGTGAACGTACCTGACACCCTTGGACACACAAGCGAAGGTGACAGTATGTGACCTGATTTCCGCAACATCACCTGATACCCTTCGGCTTCTATTAATTTCGGTGGCCGCCTGTAGGGGATCGTTCTTTCGGAGGTTCCAAACACACATATATCAGCCAAGTGAAACTAAGTCAGCCTCCCCACGGACTGCCCAAATACACACTAGCTCAATTCTAATTGGTAGACCTTGAGCCACGTGTATTTGGCACAAGGCTACGGGGTGTTCCACAATGCCGTTGATATCGCGTGTTGTATATTTCAGCACGCCAGCGCCTTTAACACTAAAAACAAGGATACGCTGGGTCTAACACAACTCCCAGCGGGAGTGCTGCAAACTATGCTACAGGCATTCGCTTTCTCTGAACAGAAACGTAAATTCAAGACAACCGAGAAAGCAAACAATAGAGCGGCACACATGTAACTTGCAGGAAATTAGACCAGTCCAACAAACTTGTGAATGAAACGTGACCTACTTTGTTTGGGGAGACTAATTTAAACCTTACCTTCCAGCGATTGTAATGAACAAAAATACACGAACTTTTTTTATGCGTTGGATTATCTTCACAGCGCCCGGGACACATCCATACGGTCTAAGATTCGCATTTCAACGTATTTATCATCGTCGCCTGGGTTATAGTGCTAGTCCTATGATGACTAACAAGACTTCGTGTGCTCCTCATGCTTGACTGTACCGATCTTTACTCCCATTCTCGTATTCTTAGCAGTAGTGTGGACACATTGCTTCGAAAATACTCGTAATCTCTCTAAGGGCGTTGAAAATGTCTGAGCGATCCATGGGCCGGCCATTTGCAGTTAATGCGGAACCTGCCAGTCTGTTAGGTCTTTCAATACCAACAACATCTGCATATCCTTGGACAAATGTGCAGGCAACTGCACGAACAGGGTAGTTTCGCAATAACTCAGTCCAGTGTCTGTGTAACGAGTTTGCCTCGACCCGCCGGATCATGCTCATAGACTCAGCACACATAAGAACTGACTGACACTTATAGAAAGAAGTAGAGAGATAAGAGGACACACTAGACAACACAGCCAATAATTTAGACCCTCACCCAACACCCAAACTTCCATCACATTCCAGACATAATTACTCTCCCTTCTGAGTTCGGTAGCAGGTCCCATTTGGGTGGGTGGTTAAGGGGGGTGGGGGATAATAGACCCACCGCCCCCGTCATAATAAGCATGTCGTAGGAGGCGACCAATTAGGAGGTATTTCCGTCGAAGTCGGAAAGTATCTGCCTGCCTGAGAGAGGAGAAATCGATAGTCGGCATACACATTAAGCCACATAGGTAAACAGGATGAAGTGTAAGCACAACTTACTTCTGCGGCAAGACTGAAGTCCAGAAGTGGACAAACAACCTGAACTTTCTGCTGGTGTTTACAGTAGGGCTGTAACGAATAGTGATTTTTACTATTCGGCCGAATACGAAAAGCGGGACCAACTATTCGGCCGAATACAAATACGAATAGTGTATCAACATCATCAGGTGCCTTGCCGACTGGCGTGGGCGATTATGCCTCGCCACAATCTTCGATCTCCCCCCAGCATGTATTAGTGCTGACACAGCTCAATGCCATGCAACAAGACTGTCAAGAATCTTCTCTCGTTGTTTTCCTCTATCCCTCCTTCAACAGATCTTTCCAGTGGTCACCACATGTTCCATTTTCCCTCTTCTCATAACATGGCCGAAAAATGATGACTGTCTCCTTCTGATATCTGTGATTAATTGTCTTCAGGCTCCCACCTCTATCAAAACCTCTCGGTTGCTTTTTTGTGTGTGTGTGTGTGACTGTCCAAGGTATCTTAAGCATTGTTCTGTAAAACCACATCTGTGAGGCCTCAAGAAATTGTTTGGCCTACCTACCAGTCGTCCAGGACTCACAGCCATATGTTAAAATTGGATGTATGTAGCAAGCAAGAATTATTTTTCTAACCTTTAATGACAAAGACATATTGCATAAGATGTTCTTCATGTTATAAAATGCAGTTTTTGTCTGTCCTCGTTTTGAAAGTGGCGAGGAAAGACAATTTAAATTTTAATTTTAAGTATCTTCATGCCTTCTTTAATAAAGTCACAGTTTAAAGCCGACTTTTCTTGATTTTCGCCGCGGCACCCGTGGCATACGCACCCAGTTTGAGAACCTCTGCTGTAATGCCTCGGTCAAGTCAGCAGGCAAAGACCTTGCCACGTTCTGTACCACGCAACCGGGTCGCTGTTCCCCCGTTACAACACACTTGGGCAACAGCAACTATTGTGTTAATCAGAGACGTATTTCAGTCCATCGCAGTGTATGCAGAAACGGGTGTAAGGTAACCACTATTCGTATTCGGCCCGACCGCAAGTATTCGGCCGAATACCGAATAGTTATTTGGTCCACTATTCGGCACCGAAGCGAATACGAAGCGAATATTCGGCACAGCCCTAGTTTACAGCCGGTAAGCTGTGAGAAGAAGATACTTGCTTCATCTGAGTTACCGTTGGGAGAGTGGCGCCTGCGCGCGCACACACACACACACACACATACACATGTTGGTTGGGTGAAATACTCAGGGGTGGTGGAGGTTACAGTCATAATGTTGATACATACATGCATGCATCCATCCATACATACACATACATACATGCATCCATCCATACATACATACATACATACATACATACACAATACATACATACATACATACATACATACATACATACATACATACATACATACATACATACATACATACATACATACATACATACATACATACATACATACATACCTACCTACCTACCTACCTACCTACCTACCTACCTACCTACACACATACATACATACATACATACATACATACATACATACATACATACATACATACATACATACATACATACATACATACATACATACATACATACATACATACATACATACATACACACACATACATACATACACACATACATACATCCATTGATACATACATATACACTTACATACATGCATGCATGCATGCATCCATCCATACATACACACACACACATAGACAGACAGACAGACATATGTGCGCGCGGATACACACATACACCATTGATCCCCAGTGCTCAGTTGGAGGCAAGGGACCAACATAAATGACCCATGACCCGTCATTCGACCCCTGGCGACTCTCAAGAGCATGTAGTCACGCGTGGGGTGTCGGGTTTCCCGCCACTCCTGTTTCTGGGCGCGGGTAATTTGGCCAGCCGACGTGGATGTAGCGGTGCGGTCTGCAGGGATGGGGGTTATTGAGAGCCATGATGGCTGACGTGCAACCGTGCTGTTCAATATTTTAACAGCCGGCAGTGACAAACTGGGAAACTGGGTGTCAACTGTACAAGTGGCCTGTGGAGTCTGTGTGCACTGTATGAGTCTGTGTACAAAAGGTGTCTGCGTGTACAGTGTGAGTTTGTATACAGGGGATGTCTGCGTAAAGGGGTGTCTGTGTGTGCAGTTGTGAGTCTGTCCAGGGTGTTTGTTTACAGCATGAGTCTATGTACAGGTGGTGTTTGTGTATATTCTGAGTCTATGTACAAGGGTGTCTGTGTGCATAGTGTGAGTCTGCGTACAGGAGTACAGGAGGAGGGGGATGTGTGTGCAGTATATGTACAGGGGCTAAATGTGTGTACAGTGTGAGTCTATGTACAGGGGTATCTGTGTGACTCTGTGTATGGGGGGGGGGGGGGGTGTACAGAGTGTGCACGGGGGATGTGTACAAATTCTGCGTACAGCAAACGGAGCATACTGTGTGTACAGGAGGGAACTTTGTGTACATGTATGAACTTTGTGAAGCTGCGCCCCCCCCCCCCCCCCCCGCGCGTATTCGCGTGTGTGTGTGTGTGTGTTTTATACCATTCCTAAAATTATACTGTCTTTATGAAATCCCAGTCTCTATGCTCAAATTTTGATACATCTTTAACCTCTTACAGACCCGGAAGGGGGAAAAGAGACGGATACCAAATGGCGAACGGAAGATCAAGAAACCAAGCAACAGTTGTAGCAGTGCCAGCAACTGTGCTGAAGGCAGCGGGATCCGATCTGGCACTGCACCCGTGGTTGCTGCACATCTCGGTGCCGCAGGTTTCTCTCAAGTCAAACCGGAAATGGCTCAAATGGCTCAGTCAAACAAAGTGGTCCAGTAAACCGGCCCAAGTCAAACGGAACTCGGTCAAGTGGTCCAAGTCAAACCGTTGAACAAGGGAGACGTCATGACCCATAGGTAAATAAATCATTTTGATAACTGTTATTCTTTGGGGGGTGTCTTTTTAATTGATAGACAGACAGGTAGTTGCATGGTTAGGTATCTGGACAGACAGATAAATAGACAGACAGAGGACAGACCGACATACAGATAGACAGGTAGGTAGGCCAGCAAGCTGGCAGGCAAGCAGGACATGTTAGATAAAGGATAGATAGACGTCATGATAGATAGATATAGGATAGAAATAAAGATAGATAGATGATAACTGTTATAGATAGATGGGGGATAGATAGTAGATAGATAGATAGATAGATAGATAGATAGATAGATAGATAGATAGATAGATAGGTAGATAGATAGATAGATAGATACCAGTAGATAGGATAGATAGATAGATAGATAGATAGATAGATAGATAGACAGACAGAAGGATAGACCGATATAGATAGATAGATAGATAGATAGTAGATAGATAGATAGATAGAGATAGATAGATAGATAGATAGATAGATAGATAGATAGGTAGATAGATAGATAGATAGATAGATAGATAGATAGATAGATAGATAGATAGATAGATAGATAGATAGATAGATAGATAGATAGATAGATAGATAGATAGAGATAGATAGATAGATAGATAGATAGATAGATAGATAGATAGATAGATAGATAGATAGATAGATAGATAGATAGATAGATAGATAGATAGAGATAGATGTCGATAGATAGATAGATAGATAGATAGATAGATAGATAGATAGATAGATAGATAGATAGATAGATAGATAGATAGATAGATAGATAGATAGATAGATAGATAGATAGATAGATAGATAGATAGATAGATAGATAGATAGATAGATATAGATAGATAGATAGATAGATAGATAGATAGATAGATAGATAGATAGATAGATAGATAGATAGATAGATAGATAGATAGATAGATAGATAGATAGATAGATAGATAGATAGATAGATAGATAGATAGATAGATAGATAGATAGATAGATAGATAGATAGATAGATAGATAGATAGATAGATAGATAGATAGATAGATAGATAGATAGATAGATAGATAGATAGATAGATAGATAGATAGATAGATAGATAGATAGATAGATAGATAGATAGATAGATAGATAGATAGATAGATAGATAGATAGATAGATAGATAGATAGATAGATAGATAGATAGATAGATAGATAGATAGATAGATAGATAGATAGATATAGATAGATAGATAGATAGATAGATAGATAGATAGATAGATAGATAGATAGATAGATAGATAGATAGATAGATAGATAGATAGATAGATAGATAGATAGATAGATAGATAGATAGATAGATAGATAGATAGATAGATAGATAGATAGATAGATTAGATAGATTAAATAGACAGACAGACAGACAAGTAAGTAGGTATCTAGATACACAGATATATGGATGGAAAGACGGACTGATGTGAGATCAACCGGGATAATTTTGTAGGTTGGTAATAACAAATTACACAAACACTGCTTCCCACAATATAGTTAAACTGCTGTGGGGTATTTGTGTGTCCAGCGCTGTCTATGACAACATTACATGATTTTGTCCCAACCTGTTTTACTACATGACAATCTCGCCATTGTCCAAGATCCAGAAAGATCGTTTTAGTCAGATAAATAGGAACACAAGACGCTTTCCATTATATCATGATAAATACAATTCCATACCGCCCCCCCCCCTTTTTTTTCCTATTAAAAACCCCCCAGTTTCATAACATTTTGTTCGCATTTATATTACCATTTAACATTCTTCCTCTGTCCTTTGTTCCCTAAGGAGCATGGGCCCCTAGCCAACTGACGTCATTGGTCCTGTCGTTTGCTATCTTTACTCTCTAGCCTACCCTCTGTGTGTGTGTCTCCTTTCCTTGCTGTAGTCTATGGGTTCCAGTTTAAAGAATTTTTTAGTTATTTTGTTAGAAAATGCAACACCAAAGTAAATGGGACAAAACTCAAGCAAATTGATATGTTTAAGTACTTGGCTACCCTGATAACATCAGATGCAAGATGTATTAAAAAGAAATAAATGTAGAATAATAGCGCAGACAAAGGCAGCATTTTACAAAATGGATAACATTTAATGCAATCTTTCTTTGCAACTGAGTCAAGAAGGAGAATTCTTAAAAGCTTTATAATTTAAATCCTATCTTGATTTACGGAAGTGAATCATTAACAGTTTGTAAATTAGTTAAAAACTTATTTAGAAGCTGCGGAGATGTGGATTTCTAGACGAATCATAAGGATACCCTGTACAGATAAAAACAGTAATGAAAATGTCTGTAAAGAAACTGACCCAGGAAGATAACTGATTGCCCACATCAGGGGAAGACAATCTACATTCTGTGGTCATGTGTTTACAGAAGGAGAAAGCTAGAGTCCATCGTGAAAGTACGAAAGATGGAGGAGAGGCAGAGGGAGACCTAGAGAAAAGATGCTGGACAGTTTGACATCATGGCACGGAGGATCATCTGTGTCAGAGTTCATTGAAAGTACCCGAGACAGTAGGTTGTGGATAGACAAGACTACCAACGCCACTTGGCATGGACTATAAGAGAAAAAAAAAAAAAAAGAAATCCCATTATGGTGGGCCATATCTAGGAGTTATCGGTTGCATAAGTTGCAGCGCAGTGCCATTAATCTCATTATACATTGCCTAGTTTATTTCTCATTATTATATGTCTGTCTGTGTATTTCTCGTTATATACCAGTGTATCGTATTGAAGATCATTCATTATAGCCTTCAAATTACCTTTACCTCTTGATTCACTGGAACTTGTTTAGTTCTCTCCAAAAGCTCTACATTAATGATTCTAACATACCATTTAATTCTTTTTATACCGCACAAGCACCAGTTAATGATTGTTTGTAGTTTATTCATTAGTAATTGTTTTATGCTCCCTGCAACAGTACTGAATGCTTTATTAATATCCTACCCCAAACGGAAAATCCACAAGTCAGGGGACAGTCTAATATTTCAGGGGGTGGTATATAGGCTGCATGCAGTCGTGGGACCTATGTTGCACTCTCTCGTGGAACGTAGGTGGGTTGGGGTTAGGGCCAGTTGTATATGTTTGGGGTCGTTAAAAGCATCAGAAAGCCAGGAAACCCGCTCTTAGCACCCTTTAAAATGTTGGACTGTCCTCTGACGTCATCATGGGTAAGATATTAATAAAAAGCACAGATAATAATGTGTTCTTACAAAATAATCAGTGATTAAAACTGATTTTATTTCTTTTTATTATCATCAATCAGCCGACTTCCAGAGACCAATATCGACCCACAGAGAAATAATTATTTTGTCAATACCCCAACAGTTCAAGGAACAGACGGTCTGATCACTCCCAAAGACAAAGTGAGATCTTTGAACGCAGTCTTAAACAGCCAACCTTCACAAACTCAGACGAACGCTTCCTCATCATCGGCGGTACAACTTGCTTTTCCTCCACCAGACGTAACATCATCTTTGACCGTTATTTCCGAATTTCCTTCATCAACGTCGACTGTGATGGCATCTCAACAGACAGTGTCACAGACATCTGCCAGCACAGATGTTTCTACAAGCAAAACACCACAGACAATTACTGTAGCCACTCCTGTTTCGTTGCAAAAGACATCAAATGCTACTGTAGAAAGCACAACAGCTGGTCCAATACCATCAGCACCGGAACTGCACATACATCATTTAACTCTGAATCCGGCATTGCTGCAAATACTTAGCCCTAATCACCCAAACGCTAAAGAGGCACAGACGCCTACACCAACAACCTGTGATTTTACTGAGCTTCCGAATCACTCATCAGACATTGGTCCTAACGATTCAGGACTTTCTGATGATGATGACGAGGACATCAATGTTGGCAACAACACGGATGCCTCTTTTAATACGGAGGGTAACTGTGACATTCCAGATGAAGACAGCGACGATGAATGCCATTACTCAAATAAGATATCGGAAGATGACGATGATGACTCTATTTGTGATGCCCACTCCACCGAAGAGGCATCTCCAGAAGCTATTGCTGGTAAAGCAGACGCCTCTACACAGCAGACAGCTTACAGCAATTCATTCTATTCAGGATTGGCAGCCTGTGAACAGAAGAGCGTTCCGGACACTAGAGATTACATCCACAAGATAAATTCAAACGTGGAAGGCCAGGAACACTTCCATGAGCTGAAGAAACACTCAGATTTACAAGAACCTGGCTCATTTCCTAAAACATCAACTCCAATTTCAAACATTGGTGGTGTATATGATTCTTCCAGACAGACAGAGGTAGTGTCCCTTTATAATGTATGCCCTGCAACAGCAACATTATCCATATCAGCAGTATCCAGTGCTTGCTCCAAGCCATTATCATTATCAATTTCTACTTCTAATGTAAAGTCAGAGCATCTGTGGATCCCGCCAACTGTATCCTCATCTTCTACAAATGAATCCACAAGTATTCACGAGGCACAGCAGGACAGTGCCAGAAACAGCAGATCTCCCCAAGCAGCAAAACTCAACAGGAGACACATCACCGCGAGGATAGGCACATCATAACTTCAGATACAGAAAACATCGAGGGAACTACCACTCAGCAGACGGAGCATTCTCTACAGTGTGCTGAGTCTGCACTGTCAGCTGGACACTGTGACCGAGATAGGGTTTTACCTTATACAGTTTTTCACACAGAGGATCACCACCGGCTGACCCAGAACGTCAAAGATCCTAAAGGTGATGTGGTCAGCAAGAAGAATAACGACAGTGCTCAAGTCCAGCCTACTCCCTGTCGTTTAGAATCCATCAATAATAAGAGACACAAAGAGAAAGATCGTGATGACAGACACAGGTTAAGGCAGAGGGAAGAAAAAATTAGAAAGGACAGGGAGGAACGAAGTAAGAAGGATAGGGAACGCAGTGAGAGGCGTGACCGTGAAAGGAGGGAAGAAAAAGAGGCAGAGAGACTGAGAGAGGAAGAGATGGAGCGAAAGATTCACTCAGAGAGTAAATCTGCCAAAGATGTGCCGGCAGCGTCTCCTACAAGTGATCAGTCTCGTCGACCTACAGGCGGTGTCGCTGAAGCAGCTGCCTTCAGTGATTATATGCGGTTCTTGGCGGCAGGGCACGGCCATTCCTTTATGTAAGTCTTATTGTAATGTCAGTTTATGCCTGTTTATGCTTCTTCGTATAGTCTGCTTTGTGCGCCTGCATGGTAGAGTATACGTAAGCCTGTAAAAACTGCCAAAACCTGCCTTTATTACCACTTTTGCGGTGTAGGCAGGGGGGTCTTTGAGCCTGAGGATTTACGGCCGCATGGCTAGTGCTGTCGCCACGACTGTTGAGGTGAGGATTTATTTTTGCCCCCGACAGAAGAAATCCCCAGCCTTACTGAGTTTTCGAACCCGGGTCTCCCGCCTGGGAGCCCATCTTTGCAACCATTCGGCCAGCTTTTTCTCACGGAAGCCTATAGCCACTTGTATCTGTGTACAGTATCTTCAATAAGATGCAAAAATTACTGACATATAGCCACACATTGACATTGAAAACGCTGAATGTAATGTATACACTACCCATGTGGGTTCCAGTGCCCCAAGCATGTCTTAAGAGTGGACTAATTAGGGATTTTCAGCCCGAGGAGAGGCGTGAAACCAACCATCTGCATACAAGTAGGCCTGATCAGTAAAACGAATTTGCACGCAAGACTCAAGTTCTGAAACAGGATGAACAAGTAGCCCCGCCGCGCTCCCCCACCCCGAAGTTTACAGCCGGTGAATGCGAAAAACTACTGTACATTTGAGTGCATATGCATGTGTATGTGTTTATTTATATGTGTGTGTGTGTATTTGCGTTTTTATTAAAGGCCGTGCCGTGCTCTAATACATAGCGGGGCCGCATTAGGCGGCACCATAAGGGACGGCATAAGCAGCATCTTTTTGAACATATAAAAAGGTAAACTCGGGAGATGTGAACCAGCGTCATTGCACACGGTTATAAACCATAAGTGCTCTGCCACCAGTACGGACAACTTATAAGAATTGTCCGCCTGTGTCGCCATTCGCATGTAACTCTGTAGCTACAGCGACGTTCCTCCATTTACCCCAGGGTGTCAACTCTGGTACCCATTTCCTAGAGGCTGGGTGAACCCCGAGAACCGCCCAGTTTCGAACACCGACCGCGTGCTGCAGCGAGTCTCCGCTGGATTTGAAAGCGAGCTCTTATCGACTGCGCTAACACGGCCCCGAACATATAAAGGGCGGCATTTCAAAGACTTGCGTCATACTGAGAAAATCACCGCACGGCGCTGAATACATATATATATATATATATATATATATATATATATATATATATATATATATATATATATATATATCTGTGTCTATGTCTCTGAGTATATGTTTGTACATAATATTACTGGTGTGTGTGTGTGTTTTCCCCCTCAGGTCTCCGACTTCCGGTTACATGTGCTCATACTACCCGGTCCAGCCGCAGGAATCAGCCCTGGCTCCTCACCTCCTGCACCCACTGACCTCCTTCAGTCCTCAGCTGGGACAAATCCACAAAGACTCCTTACTGTATCAAACTTCAGCGACGGCCCTACCAAACTTCGGCGGCCCGTCATTCGGACACACGCCTCCGGTACTCCACCGACCTCAGTATACAACCCAGCAGTCCATCCTGGAGTATCAAAGGTCATTAGCAGCCGCATCGTCCTACCCCTGGATGGCAAACTACCCATATTTTTTTCAAACCTCTTCTTCCTCACCAACATCATCATCATCAGCAGCAGCAGGAAACGTGGCAGCAGGAACAAAACGATCTTCAGCAGAATTGGAGGCAACAATGGAGCTCAATGCCAAAAGAATGAGGTAGAGTAGACTGTGTGAGGATGTTCATCCATCTACCTACCTAATAATTGTCTGTCTAAATATACAAATATACATATAATACAACTGTGGCTCACAGGTCTACCCCACCTACAGACTGGGAAGCAAAGGCGGCTGACACCGGCTGTAATAGCTGCTGGCTAAATCACCCACCGATAGCTGATTGGTCTATC